AATCATCATGACAAAATTAAAGCAACAACTATTAAAGCAAGCTTTTTTTTTTTCATGTACATGGGCAGCCTCCCTCTAAGGCAGGGTTTAAGATGTCAGAATTAGATGTGAGGAAGACAAGGCTTTTGTAGCTCAGGGGTAGAGTTTCCAATGGGGAATTTGGTGGACAAAACAGGTGGGGTTACAGGAGCAGAACATCATAACATGTTAGTTGTAACGACCTGAAACAAAGGTATGGTTGCAGGTAGCTCTAATAACAGGTAGTCATAATAAGGTAGTCATAACAATCCTTTTGGAACAAAGGTAGGGTTGCAAGATAACTGCTTATTAACTTATTGAGACAAAGGCATGATTTCTGTTCCTGGAACAGGCTGTATATAGAACCACTTAAGGTTACAGGTGGGCCATAGCCTAATCCTGTTCTGCTCCTCCCATCTTTGGGATGCCCCACACTAGTAGGAAGGGATCACTTCATTGCTCCCATCCACTTGAGTAGCCCACTGAGAGGCTGCACCCTGAGTACACTAGACTCTGTACTGCTGGACTCAGGGTTTGTTTTCAATTCATCAACAATGCTATAACGAGCATCCTTGTATATCAGTGAACTTTTGTAGCCACAGGATTTAATTCTAGGAGTGAAATAAAGGCTATGAACATTTAAATTTTTCTGTATTTCGACAAACTAATTGGAAAAGCAGAATCAACTTCATACGCCCCTCCATCCTCATCTTCAGCCCTGGGTGTCCTGATGGAAATGCTAGAAACTTACCTTTCTGTAAACCCAAAGGCTACCAACTCCCCTCTGTCCTCAGTCCTGCTGCCACCTGCCCTGAAAAGTAACTCTGACGCTGTCTTCTCTTTCCGGTTCAGGCCACACTTGCCCACAAGGTGTAAACACTGAGTTGACAACCTGGATGAAAATGCTGTCCACATATGTAATAGTTATGGAGTTACAAAACATTCTCCTAGATGGCCTTTGGGTCCTAGTCCCTTCTGCTTTTGCGTCTAGAATCTTCCAATGCCAGAGTTAAAAAGACCCCCAGAACAGACCTCCTGCTAGCCTGCCTTCTCTCCACTGCATGGATAAAATGATGAAGGCTAAGAAAGAAGACAAAGACAGCAAGCAGCAGAGTCCCGGGGTCAGGAAACCTCTATGCCTCTTCCCTCGTACTTTTTTTTTTTCCTTTTGAGACAGGGTCTTACATAGGCCAGACTGGCCTCAAACTGGACATGTAGCTGAGGAGGATCATGAACTTCTGGTCTTCCTGCCTCTGTGCTAGGGTTACAGGCTTGCACCACCACTCTTGGTTTACGTGGTGCTGGAGATCGCAATCCCAAAACTCTCTGCATGCTAGGCATCCACCTGAGCTACTATTTCTAGACCTTATTTTATTATTATTTTTTTTTTGAGGCAGGGTTTCCTGCAGCTGAAGACAATTCCTGTTCCTCCTGCCCCCACCTCCCAAGTACTCAGACCAGGTCTGGCTCAGCCTCTCCTCCCACTCCCTGCTGTCTTATCCTGGCTTCACAAAAAGGCGCCTGGGCTTTGCTGGTGACCCCTCTCAACTGCTTATGCGAGTCCACCACTTATGCCTGCTTACTCCACTTGCCAAAGGCCCTCACATCTCTCTGACCTGCTGTGGGGTTACGGCACAGCCTCCAGGCCAGCAGCTCTCCCAGGACATCTGTGTATGCCTGCATGCCAGGGATGTATACAGAATGTCCCAGCCACCTGCAACCCGTACACTCAGATGCTTACTGTCTATTCACAAGCTGGTTGTCCTCAAGAGAACCAGGGACAGCATTCTTCACATGAGTGATCAACCCAGCAAAGAGCTGAGGGGGCTGCTCCAAGGGACCTGGACTCCGCTGTAAAGGGGCACTGGGAAGCTCAGTACCCCAGGGAAGAAACTGGACGAAGGAGTGCTGAGAAGGGAGGAAAGTAGCCACCACACAAACTAGGGTCTACCCCTGGTTACCAATACCTCACAAAGCCCCATGGGCAAAGCTGACTTTAGCCAGCTGCCAATCTTCAGGATGAGGACATAGGGACCCTCATATAAAAAGGGGCTGTAGTTTCAAGGGCTTCTCCCATGTTGGTGTCTCAATAACCTCAATACCTCAAGCCATTAGGTGGCCCAAAGGCTGTGACATAGCGCAGAGGAGGGGTGCCAGACAGGAAGCACACACTGTTAAGTGCTTCCATGTGCCAAGCCCTGAGCCAAGTTGCTGTCACTGTGTCATCTGCCTTCCCCCTCCACACCTGGGGGATAGGCAGGAGGACTCATCCCTACTTGGAACAAGAAAGGCAGGCTCTGAGTCAAGTCAGTGACAGGGAGGCCTCCACAGTTGGTGCCCTCTGGCTGCCTCAGTTGGCCAGAGAAAGAGCAGCCAAGGCCTGCTCCAGACATAGCCTGTCCTTCCTCCCAAGGGCCCAGGCTAAAAAAGCCTGGGGTGGGTGGAGCCACCACCCAGCAGGCAGCCCTTTCCTCACACCCCCACACTGCGTGGGCTGGGAGGAAGTGGTGGAGTTGCCATTCCCTTGTGCTCTGAGGCTGCCCATCTGTTTCCTGGGATAGGACTCCCTACCCCCATCCTCCTACCCGGAAACTCACTTGCTCTAGGGCTATGGGAAAAGGAACTATTCTGAGTCCCTCTCTCCCCAGGGGGTGGTGACTGCGTCAGAACCCCTTCCCAGGCCTCCTGCTCTCCAGGCTCTTGCTAATCAGCTCCTACCAAAAGCTCTGGGCTCATGAGGCAGAGGGCGGCCATGAGATTCTCCCTATTCCTGACTGTGGCATGGTTGGCATCTTCTTCACTTATTTCAGCCTGGGGGAGGGAGGGACTTAGAGAAAGGAGGTGACATTCTGGGTAGAAGTTAGTAGAAAGTAAAGAAACAAGCCTTTCCAGTCCTCCCCACCCACAAGGCCCCACAACTGTCATCTGTGTGAGAGGAGCTCCCTCTGCTGGACATGCAAGACACAGCCACTAAGTGGCCCCACTTCAGGGCCTATGCAGACACAAGGAAAATGAATCTCTCCATGTCTTAACAATGTGTGCCCTACAAAACTAGTGTTGGATGAACATAAGCAGTGCCAGAGCAGCCTATGGCCCTATGTCAAATGAGTTTAAAGGAGAATAAAGCCACCAGGTTGGGACCGACAGAAGGTGTGTGAGCGAGGGTTTGTAGACTTGGTGACAAGAAGGGCAGTTACAGGCAGGGGCCAACCCAAAGCAATGGGCATTAGGTGGAACACAGGAACAGCAGGAGGCTGCATGGACCCACAGAGGATTCTAGTGGAGAGAGCTGTCCACCTGCTGCAGCTGACAGTATTTCAGTCTTTGAATCTCTGCTCCTGAATATTAATATATAAAACTAATCAAAACTGGCCAAGAACTGAGGGAGAAAAATCTCCCGCTCTATCACACTATCTCTGAGCACCAGAGGGAACGAGGTTCAAAACAAGAAGTTCGGGCAATGAACGTCCCCTGAGGCTTTCTGCATTTGACAGACAAGCAGCGCACCTGACATAATGGAGAGCAAAGCCCAGGAGTTCAGGGAGAAATGAAAATGGGAGCAACGCAGAAGAGAAAGTGGAAAGTACATTTGAACACACTGGCACAGGAGACCACTTCCTAAATAGAAGCCCAGCAGCACAGACACTGCGAGAAACAATAAATGGGACCTTCTGCAAAGCAAAGGATAGTCAATAAGACAAAATGGCAGCCTACAGAATGGAAAAAGATCTTCATCAACCCCACATCAGACAGAGGGCTGATCTCTAAAATATACAAAAAACTAAAGAAACTGATCATCAAAAGAACAAATAATCCAATTTTTAAAAAAGGGGTACAGACCTAAACAGAACTCTCAACAGAGGAATCTAAAATGGCTGAAAGACACTTAAGGAAATGTTCAACATCCTTAGTCATCAGAGAAATGCAAATCAAAACAACTCTGAGATTCCACCTTACACTTGTAAGAATGGCCAAGATCAAAAATTCTGATGACAACTTATGCTGGAGAGTTTGTGGGGAAAAGGGAACACTTCTGCATTGCTGGTGGGAGTGCAAACTGGTACAGCCAGTTTGGAAATCAGTGCAGCCATTTCTCAGAAAATTAGGAAACAACCTTCATCAAGACCCAGCAATACCACTTTTGGGTATATATCCAAAGGATGCTCAATCATACCACAAGGACATGTGCTCAACTATGTTCACAGCAGCAAACTTTGTCATAGCCAGAACCTGGAAACAACCTAAAAGCCCCTCAACGGAAGATTGGATAAGAAAAATGTGATCCATTTACACAATGGATCACTACACAGCGGAAAAAAAAAATGACATCCTGAAATTTGAGGGCAAATGGATAGGTCTAAAAACATCATATTGAGTGAGGTAACCCTGACCTAGAAAGACAAATATATGTAATCACTCATAAATGACTTTTAGACATAAAGCAAAGAAAAACCAGCCTATAGTCCATAACCCCAGAGAACCTAGACAATAATGAGGACCCTAAGAGATCTAATCTACATGGGAAGTAGACAAAGACAGTATCTCCTGAGTAAATTGGGAGCATGGGGATCATAAAAGAGGGTAAGAGGAAAGGAAAGAGGAAGGGAGGGGAGAGGAGAAAAATATATAGCTCAATTAAAAAACAATTTGAAAAAGAAAAAGCAAATGGGAGCAGGGCATGAGGAAACTCTCTGCCCTTCTCCAGAGCACTCTCCTTCCACAGGACTTCATGACTCCTCAGGGTCAGTATGTGGGATCCGAACTCTCCACTCACTCCCTTTCGCTGTCTTCTCATGCTCTGCCCCCCCCCCATCTCATTTAATCTACCTTCTGCTTACCTTGTACACGCCCATCTCCTGTGTGTCCCGCCCTCAGCACACCCCAGGGCTAGGAAAAGAACATCACTGTAGCAGTGCGTTGGCTCAGGAGCACTGACTCCCTAGCGCCAGAAGCCACTACACCTGCCTTGAGAAGATACTCACCCCAGGAATGTCCAAAAGCTTTGACACCAGGAGAGGCAGCTTCAGGGCAGCAACGCTTCCAGTGACCCCCACAAGAACATGGAACTTTCTCTCCATTGAGGGTATGGCAGCTGGGCATGGGGCCCCCGGTTCCATGTGGCATCTGGTGGCTTTCTGGGAGCTAGAAAGCCCAGGTTTAGAATCTAAAACAGAATAAAGGGCTTCCTTTCCGTTCACACAGTCATACAACATGCAGCTTGTGCTATGCCCTAGACGATCTCCCAGCTTCTGGGAGAAAAGTGTGTGATGATCAAGTCAGGCCTCCTCTCCATACAATGCTATACCTGTGCCATGGCTGCCAGTGACTGTGCCAGAGATCATGTCACATAAAGATGCCACTCCAGCTGATTCCTGAAGGACAAGCATTTTCTCAGACAGAAAGAAATTACTTCAGAAGGAATAACCCTGCCAAGTGAAGAGGTCTGAAGGAGAACAGAGGGTCTGGAAAGAAGGTATAGGTTAAGAGAGAAGCTGAAGAGTCATGAGGGGGTTAGGAAGGGCCAGACAGGCTGCATGATCAGATCTGGGCCAGAATGTCAAGGGTGGTGAGAACCTGGCGCTTTGCTATGAGAAAGATGGCAGTGGAGCTGACAATGTGAGGAGGGAACCGTGGCTAGTGGTGGAGAGTGGGGAGTTACTACAGTGGGCCTGGCAGGCTGCTGAAGGGGCTGGAAAGAGGATGAGGTCAAAAATGAGTGGAACCATAGGCAAGAAGGGTGCTTCTGCAGCCAACAGACTTGTTCTGGAATCCTGTCCCATATTTGTGGACCAGGCTGAGCGACAACCTGCAGATTGATTTCTATGAGCCAAACACAAGGCAGCAGACCACTCTGCGGGAGCAGCTGGCTGGGCTCCTCCTCTGGCAATTGCTTGTGATGCTGGGCTGCTGAGCACACTGAAGCCTGTGCTCTGGCGGCTGGTCCAGCACACCTCACTCCATCAGCCACCGCCACTGAGGGCTGACTCTGGGCAGAGATGGGTGGAAGGCAGCTGCCTTTAGAGACTCTGGGGACGAGCTCGAGCTGGCGCATTTCTAGAGTGAACCTATCCAATGATTTCTCACTCGATTTATACATCAGTTTCCTTCGCCTCTCCCCTACCAACAATTTCCCAAAATATGAGCAGATGAATCGCCAACCACCACTCCCCCACTTTCAGTCTTTAGTATCTGCCGAATGAATTAATTACCTGCAGAACCTGCCCTGTGAAGCATGAGTCTTAGGTCCTGCCCAAGGTTGCACTCCTGACCCAGTGTATGGCCCTGGATCAGAATCATCCCCTCCTCAAAACTCTGTTTATATGAAAGACATAGGGCTAGGGACAGCTGGTTTCTGAAGCTTCCTCCAGTACAACCTGAGTCAATGCAAAAGACAGAGATAAGTGGCTCTATTTACAAGACAGAAAACCCTAGATGTTCTCCAAAAGGGCAAGATCGGCATGGAAGGAAACCCTAGTAGCTCCAGCTCCCTCCGTGCCTGGATACCCACAGGCATTTGCCTATAACATTCAGGCATATACCCTAAGAGCTGAGGTACTCTTCTAAAAGGGATTAAGCACAGACTGGTTCCCTGGGTACAATTCCCACCCCTAAAGTTCAACCTGCGAGCACTTTTTCAAGATTTGCATTATTTACTTATTTACTGTTTATGTGTGTTTTATGTGTTACCATCAGGTATTCTGACTGCATTATGTCTGTGCATCAGTTGTGTGCAGTGCCCACAGAGACCAGAAGAGCATGTCAGATTCCCTGGAACTGGAGTTACAGATGGTTATGAGTTGCCATGTGGGTCTAGGGAATCGAACCCAGGTCCTCTGCAAGAGAAGTAGATGCTCTCTTAATCACCAAGCTGTTGCAGAATATTATTTTAAGGTGTGTTACTTTTGTTTATGCTCTGGAACATGTGTTTAATGATGCAAAGATGTGTTTAATTAAATAAAATTCACCTGTGGTCAGGAGGCTCTGTCAGCAACTAGCTGACAGGAAGTTGTGAGGAGGAGCCAGGTGGAGAAAGTTTATAAGAAGGTGTTAGGAGGCATGAGGAGGAGAGAACTTGGGAGACTCTGAGATGAGCTGCTTGCTCTTCAGCCTCTAGGGAGCAGGATCCCACCTCAACCCTTGAATCTTGAGTCCTTTTGAGGAATAGAGATTTAGAGAAGTTCCTGCTGTAGCTTTGAAAGAGTCTGAGGAAACAGCTTCCTCAGGCTAAGAGGACAATGCGGAGACCTCCGCCCCCACACCCTGCTGACAGCACTTGGAATCTTTTCTATAATTTGGAACCTCGACCAGGACCAGGTTTGTTAGAGAAATGAGTCCACCAAAAAGTCCCCGCACACTGTTGACAACTGACAAAGTCCATGGAACCCACTAGCCAGCTCCCCAGAACACATCAAAGCAGGTGAGAGACACTTTGGGTTTTTTTGTTGTTGCTAATTATTTTTAATTTTATGGACATATGTGACTATGTACACTTGAGTGCAGATGCTCGCGGAGGCCAGGGGCATCCAGTCATCTTGGATTTGGGGCAGTTCTGAGCTGCCTGGCATGGGTGTGCACACAGGGGATAGGAATGAACTCGGGTCCTCTACAGGAGTAGCCCAGTTCCATGAGAAGCACATTCTTGATTCTCCAGCAAAACTTACCTGTCAGTCCTCAAACCCTGACTCCGTCCTACTTCAGCCAAATGGCACAAGAACAGGAAGAGTCCTACAAAAACAGAAGCACAATTTCATCTCTGCAGTCTGTGAACCTTACGAAGATAAAATTCCCAAGGGTCATGTTCCATAAAGCTGTCAATTAAACTAGAGGCCGGACTCTGCCCTGCTCATCCAACTGTTCCCACAGCAGGCACTGTGGCCCAAGATATACTGCCTGAGCTGCTAGCCAAGCTTTGCTCAGAACCAAAGCCATTTTCTGGGAGTACGGGGGAGGCGGAGAGAGACTGATTTATAATTGAAGAATAGAAACTAGATTATTTAACTGATATTTGGAAGTGAGGTCAAATATGTTCAAACTCAGGGTCCCAGGGGGAGCGACAGTTGGCAAGGGTTTGCTAAGATCAAATTCTAAGCCAATTAAATCTCTTCCTCCACCCAGATTCTATTAAAGGCTTTTTAAATTTTTATTCATCAACAGTCGGGGTGACTGTAGGCAGCACTTCACTTCCCTATCTCCTGCCTCTCATAGGAACTGTGAGCAGCAGAGAAGAGAGGACAAGCAGGCAGCAGGTCACTACAAACAGGCTGAGCTCAGGGACCAGGGCGGTCAGCCACGCAGGAGAGCCACAGCCAGAAACCTGCACTTTCTCTACCCTTCAGAAAGAGGGAAAAATCCGTCGCTTACATAATAAATGTAACCCTTGAAACACAGTAACACGAGAAACTCTTTTTTACACTTTAAAATGGATCCTTTTGTATGTCTATCTAGCTGGTTGGTGATGGACCTTCTGAGGCTTCGGAGCACAAGTCTTCCAGCACAAGTCCTTTGGCTCCGGAGGGCAGTTAGGATAGCTAACCCTCCGTCCTAAACACCGAGTTCACTGGTTTGAACAGACAAGTCAGTGCATGTCTGTGTTCCCTGACCTATGTATTATGCTTGTTCAGACATGTCCAGGAGCTGAACACTCTAATTCTCTCCCACCACCACTTACCCTCCCGAGAGAAAACTCAAAAGACAAGCTTGTTTTGTCATACGATTCAATGCTCTGCTTAAGCCTCTAGAGTCAAACTTGAGTTACTCTTGGCTATCCTTGAACTTAGGGTTAATTTTTCTTTCCACCCTTCATAGGCTGAGGTAGAGGTACAGGGAGATGCCTCTATTACCAGTGTGCTAGCTACAGTTTATTGCTAGATCAGCTTTTATTTTAAGCGGCATATGCAAAAAACACTTTTTTATATTTTTACTTGACTTGTATTATAACCACAGAACGTGGCACGAACTTACTCTTATGCATATTCAAGAAAAAGTGGGGTTTAATGGCACATGCCTTTGATCCTGGCACTTGTGAAGAAGCAGACAGATTTCCATGAGTTCAAGATCAGTGTGATCTACATAGTGCATTCTGGGCTACACACACACACACACACACACTGGGGGGGGGGGAACCTCTGTGTGACATGTAAGTCTCCTCTCATTTAGTCAAGCTCAAAGTTTAAAGATTCATGGACATCTGCCAGTAACAAAACGGGCAAAAATGTAGCCAGGAAAATGTCACCACCCTACACCAAAACCTGTACCACCTGGCACCTAAACCCACTTTACTTATGACAGTAGGAAGAGCAAGCAAGGAATGCTCGTTCAGTCAAAAGGCTTGGCACTCTAATGGACTTCCCTCAAACCAGAAGTAGACGTGTTTGGCTCTAAAGCTCCTGCCATTCCATCGGGCACCTCTTGAGGATACACCACCAGCTCCCGAGCACCCACACTTCCTGAAGCTGGGAATCTCTCCTGCCCATTTTCTAGTTCTGGCTTCCAATACTCCAATGGTCAGTGATCCGGAATTTTTTTTCGGACAAAAACTGCCCTCCAATTTTTAAATGCCGCTTGGTACATTTAGGGATTAAGCAGCTAAACACTCTCAGGGTTTTCCTTTCTCTGGTTTATTGACTTAAAACACAGTTTGAGGCAAGTTGGCTCAGTAAGGGAGCTTGCAGCCAAGCCTGAGGCCCTGGATATAAATGACGGGACTTACACGGTGGAACTGAGCCCCGCAAGTGGTCCTATGACCGCCACAAGCACGCCGTGATAGCAACCCTCCTTCAAAATAAATGTCATTTTTTAAAAAAGCTTGCACTTCGGAACGCTCCTAGGTCTCTTTGGAGGCGCTGCAGTTTTTCAAAGGCAAGCGTCAAGTGTGGGTGTTCTGACTGCGTCGCCTTTAAACTGATCAACTCTGGTCAAGGATGGAGCATGTCAGCGGGCACAGGTGCAGCTGCTAACCCCCAACTCTGAGCTCGAGGTCACACCCGTGGCCCCACATTACACACATAATACGAAGACCCTCACTCGGACCCATAGTCAGAGGGGAGTCGCCCACCGCCACACCAACGCGGGACCCAGGGACATGGCTTTCCAGCCCCTTCCATGGCTCACCAGCTCCAGCTTGTCCCAAGTATCGCGGTATCTAGGCTCCCTTACCCTCCGTCTCTAAATGGCACGCGAGAAAGCTACGTGATCGCATAGCCTTCTGGGAGTCGTAGTCTAATTCTCTGCCTTCTGGGAGTTGTAGTCACTGGAGCGCCCGGTACTTGGTACTTTGTACATTCCCTAGAGCTGGCTCCAGGACCGACATAATTGTGTGATTGGCCAACAACCCCGTGTGCCTGTTCAGAATTCAGACACTTAATACTATTTACCACACCTGTTCTAAAAGGCAGCTATGCATTTGAGACAAACAGGAATACAGAAAATTAGAGGCTAAAAATGAGGAAGCTGGAGGATCTAAGCCACAACTCTAAACAGGAAAGCCATGTCATTGAAGTGATCATTTCGAGAATTTTTTTTGGGGGGGGGGGGCGGTAACTCTGGCTGGTATGGAACTCAGAAATCTGCCTGCCTCTGCAATACTGGGATTAAAGGAGTGTGCTACCGCATCATAGCTCCTTGAGAGGTATCTAGAGGGGTGACCAGCACAGAGGATCTAGACAGCACTCCTAACGGGGCACGCCTTTAGCAAAGACTCGGCCTACTGGAATAATTGTCGTTATCAACCTGCAACAATTATAGATATCAAGAACCCGTGTTCACTGAGGTGCTGAATGAGCTTCAGCGGACCCACCATGGAAGCTGAGAGCCTGTGTTCCAGTCCTACCACTGCCAGGCATGAACCGTCAGGACCATTACCCTCACTCACTGTTACAGGCCACATCTGTTTCTTCTTCTTAACTGGTAGTTGTGGCATTTACTTCATGGCCCTCTCAAGGCTGCTTCAAGGAAAGGATCACATATAGTTTGGGGCGTCACAGATCCACTCCACCCAGCCCTACACCCCTGCCTCACATCCCACATCAAGGCTTCATTAAAATCCACATGAAGACAAGTAACACAGTGGCATAGACAGGCTCAAATGATCCCTTTATTTATAGTTCATCCAGTTACCACAGATTGACACATTGGCTCAGGCAGGTCAACTGCCAGCTAGGGAATAGTTTGTGTCTCTCAGAAACAAGTGGCATTGGGCACCAGGAGAATGCAAAAGCAGGTCACTGGCTGGCAACAGACAGGAGGATCCCCAGAACGGACCGGGCCCTCCTCCCACCCCCAAACCAAACCCATCTGTGCCCAGCCCCATTTCTCAGCCTGGTTCCCCCCTCATGAAAGTGCATAGTTGCCTGGAGATGCAGCATTCCAGGGCCTGAGCAGTTGGGCCAGAAACTGGTAACAGGCTTTCCCAAGTCAGCGCCAGGCATGGAAAGAGGAATGGCAGGGAGGACGGGACACTGACTGGAGGTGACATCCAATAGCTAGTGAATGCTAGGCTGGCAGCTGCTCACAGCCCTTCCCGAACTACCGGAGGACCAGGAGAAAGGGAGCCCGAAGTCTGGGGTCAGGAGGGAAAGGGAGGAAGGGCCTCGCTCCGGGGTCTCAGGATACCAGGGACCATGACAACTGCTCTCCAGAGAGGAAACAGTACGGGAAAGAATCAGCTAAGCCTAAGGGGTCACTAGGAAAGAAACTTTCCAGAGACACTTGGCTTCTCCTACAAGAAGCTGAAGATCAAAGCTCAAGGTGGCCTGAAACCAAGGCAAACCAGCCTGGAATGGCTGAGTGCAGTCTGGTTCTCCAGTCCACGGAGCCCAGGTGAGTTTCTGTTGGAAGGAGTGAGAACAGGCAGCTGCTCCTTGGTAAGGCCTACCCACCTCAGGCCTCACACAGCCGGATCCATGACCAGGCAATGTCTACCCACTGCATGGAAGAGACAGTCCCAGGGACTAAGATCAGCCATGAAGGGGTAGAAGATTCTAACAGAACTTTAAAAAGGCCAGGAACCAAGTCCTATAATTGGAGGAGGGAGGGGCAAAACTCACAAAATGAAAATCTGAAGGCGGAGTCCTCCTTCCCTCCCTGGCCACCAGGAACCCCTATTCAGGACATTGTGCTTGCAGCTTAAGCTGGGCCTGGGAGCATCTCCACAGAATCTGTCCTGTAGCCAAGGGCAAGTGGGACTGGAGAGGTAAGCTACCCTCTCATTGGGCTTCTATTTGACTTCTCTTTTGATCCCCGCCCCCTTCAGACCTGGCTCTCCAAGCTCTATCCTTTCTGCTATACTCAAATAGAACAGCTATTCCTCCCAAGAACCCAATGGTCACTCTGAGATACCTAGAAGCCCTTATGGGCTGGGGCCAGCCACACTTCTCCCAGGGGCCAATAATGAGTTCTATGTCCTCTGTTCCCACAGTGCCCTTATAGTTAACATAGCCCAGCTCCACAGGAATTGCAGAGTGGTTAAAGGAGGATGTGGGGAGGAAAGGAGGGGCGTGGGAGAGGGAAAAGAAGCCTGCCTCTGCAGGCCAGGCTTTCAGAACCAAGGAGAAAGGCCTACATTTCCAGTCCCTGCTGTCAAGTACTCTCCATCTGCAAGCTGTGTGCCCTTCCACATCAGGGCTGGCTCAGCCCCCATGGCAGCTTCCTTGAACTGGGGATCAGATCAGACCTGGGGACCTGGGCAGTCTTGGAAGCAGACAGAACGGAGACACTCAGTATTAGGAAGACAAAGAAAAGCTACCCGCAGAGGAGAAGGATCCTGGGAGAGGCAGCTAGGGAAGAGAGCACAAAGAGTGAGGACGAAACAAGGGGAGAAAGAGGTCGAGGGGAGGACTACAGGGGCCAGAAACATCCCCTCTGTCCCACCCTCCAGAACCTACTCATCACCATGAATGCTAAATACTGTTGCTTCCCAGTGGGACCAAAGGGGGAAATAAACCATGCACAGGGTGCCAGACTCTCTGCTAGGCCTCCCCCTGCCCCGTGAGGAGTCCCTGGGCCAGGGTCAGAGGGGGCAGCCGGGTGGACCGGGGAGGGGGGAGCTGGTTTAGTTCTAAACATACATCTAGCACCACAACAAGAGATCGCCACTGCACATTATTTCACGAGGGGACATGGACGCGGCCACTAGTGCACAGGACCACTCCCTGTGCAGCCCACAGCTCTCGAGGTGCCAAGAGCAGGACCCAAAAGGTGGGGCAGGGGATAGACATATACATATATATTTACATATATATATATATATATATATAACTCTGATTCTTTGTACAAAGTTGGGGAGGAGAAAAGGGAAGGGGGAACCCTGCTTGGTCACCACACAGATGATGTGGCTTGAGCCCCCTGTCCCACTGGCCCCCAGCCCTGACTCCTAGTGGGCTTGGCCGGCTCACATCTCATTAGAGTATGTGTAGTTGGGGGTGGCAGAATATTGAGTCTGCGGTTGATTCATGGCACCCTGTGCAGCCCCCATGGCTGCATTCTGGGCTGCCTGTTGCACATGTGGGTTCTTCCATGCACCAGTGGTCCATTCCTCCTGAGCTTTGCTGAAACTGCCCCCGCTGCCCCGGTAGAACTTATGAACCTGTAGGAACGAAAGCAGAAGGGCTAGTCAAAGAGGAAAACAAAGTGTTGTTGCATGCCTACAATTCTCAAAGAGGCAGGAGAATCATGATTCAAGGGGCTGTATAAAATATAATGCTGGGGGCTGGAGATATGGCATTGCCTGCTCTTCCAAAGGTCCCGAGTTCAATTCCCAGCAACCACATGGTGGCTCACAACCATCTGTAATGAGGTCTGGTGCCCTCTTCTGGCCTTCAGGCATACACACAGACAGAATATTGTATACATAATAAATAAATAATTAAATAAATAAATAAATAAATAAA